GACGTCCCATAGAACATTTTGCGAAACACAATAGCCGGCATGTGTAGTTCTGGGGGGGGGGCGTTCGATTCCAGTTTTACAGTCAATATTTTTATTTATTTTTCCCCTTTCCCCCCCTCCCGGTCCTAACTAAATAAAATAGATACATGTATAGGTAAAAGTAAAGTAATGTAGAAGATAATATTAAAAGAAAATGTATAGATAAGGGAAAAAATAATAGTAACAGTAATACTTGTACCCATATATACTCACATATGTGTACCCACATATACACATACACATACGTGTGTGCACATACCCACACACATGTACACACATACACATACCTACATACATGTATACAAAGACAGAACAAATAAATAAAATAAAATAAAAAACATACACATACATTCGTAGTTCCCCTCCTTTCTTCTTAATTTAGTGTCTTAAGTTCAGCTATGTAGGCTATCATAGAGCCCCAGACAGATTCAAATAGTTTTAAGGAGCCCCTCAGGTTATATTTAATCTTCTCCAAGTTCAGATACAACAAAAGATCTTTAAGCCATGGAGATGCTTTAGGTGCTATCGAGGATTTCCATTCAAGTAGTATTCTTCTACGTGCTAATAAAGATGCAAAGGCTATACTGTCCTTAGTTTTCCTCCTCATCATNGGGAAAAAATAATAGTAACAGTAATACTTGTACCCATATACTCACATATGTGTACCCACATATACACATACACATACGTGAGTGCACATACCCACACACATGTACACACATACACATACCTACATACATGTATACAAAGACAGAACAAATAAATAAATAAAATAAAAATTAAAAAAACATACACATACATTCGTAGTTCCCCTCCTTTCTTCTTAATTTAGTGTCTTGAGTTCAGCTATGTAGGCTATCATAGAGCCCCAGACAGATTCAAATAGTTTTGAGGAGCCATAGAGATGCATTAGGTGCTATCGAGGATTTCCATTCAAGTAGTATTCTTCTACGTGCTAATAGAGATGCAAAGGCTATACTGTCCTTAGTTTTCCTCCTCATCATTCGGTGGCCAGGGGGTAGATTTATTTTCATTATTTATAATTTGCAGATAACATTTTGTTGGTCAGAGAATAGTACTCAAAGTGTTTCTCTTTTACGTCCAAAACCAGTCAGTTGAATATGATATAAAACAGGAATGTTTACGAGGCTGATATAAAATGCATATTCCTTCCTTTTTGTCAGGAAATATCCCTCTCAATTTATGCTAATAGTTGATAACTCAATCATCAAAATAGTTATTCTGTCAATCTACTAATCGATTTGCAAGCTTTTTGCTGCATCCCCAAAGACTGACATGTGACGAGTCCACTATAATCCATTGTTACTCGTCTAATATCGTAGTCTTTTCATAAGTGCCTTCCTCAGCCTACACCAAGGAGTCAGATGGATGGAAAGACCTGGGACTAGGTGTTGAGTTAATCTCATCTGATAACTGAGGCCCTCCTCATCCTCCCTCTCCTGTCTTTCCTTTCTTACCTCCCCCTCTCTGTCCTCCTCCTCCCTCCTCTGCCATGGCTTGGCGGGTCTGATTTGTACTTCTGCTCCTCTCTCTCCAACACGGACGGCATTAAAGCCAGGCCCCACAAGCCCCCTCTGATACGGGAGAGTTCATTAGAGATGTGCCTTTGATGGGCAGCCTTTTCATGTGACTACCGGTTTTTCAAATACCTTGATGTAGAAGCTTAAGAAGGCATTGTGCAGTAAGCCCTCCTTTTGATGCGACTTATTTAGATCTGCATAGTAAATCAGGGGGGAGTAAATAACCAGCCAACAGATGGAAGCAAGGAGATAAGCAACCGGCGAACAATCGCATTTGTATTTTGTTATGATGTTGACAGCAGCTAAAATTCACTAATCTAGAGCCACTGATCTGCATTTCAAAGAAATCTCATTTAGCAGCAGGGAGGATAAAGTTCCTCTCATTGTGTCTATTTTATTGCATTCTTCACTAATTTATCTGGCCACAGATTTAACGTGCAGGGCTCGGTGCTAGGAGCTGGCCTCGGCGCGTTGCATAGGGGGTCTTAAATACTGTGAAAGCGGTTACGTCTAGACTGTGAGCTGAGGGTAATTACACGTCTGACCATGAATAGAATGAGTTTGAAGACTCATCTTTCTTCGGGCGGGCCTGAATTGCTCGACTAACACTGATAAGGAGCATTTGGTCCCCACAGAAATATTGCCAGTGACTTTCCATAATGCCCCCCCCCCACCCCTCCCCTCCCTTTTTCGCAGCACGCCAGGAGGATGGTAATTTTTAGCTTTTAAGATAAAGTTATTGTGTATAGTAACTATGACTTGTTAGCATAATGTCTCTTTCATCGCAGGAGCCCTCCTTTTTCTGCAGTGTGGAAGGCATTTCGTGGTCGCGGGTCTTAAAAAATATGTTTATCTTGACTTAGTGCACGGCACGCTTTATGTAAATATCAGCCTAATAGCATTATTCAGACCTTCATGAGTACTTGATGCGTTTGCCATTATTTATCAAGTTGATAGAATTTACGGCCAGTGTTTGTAATTTGGCATAAAGATATGTGTGGTATTGTAAATCCCCACGAGATGGAGGTCATGCAGACTATAGCATTTTAATGGCTTTCCCAGTGAATAAAATATGACATCAGGCCCCATGAGGTGTTGTGATAGTGAAGTGCTGCTCGACAGGCAAATATTTCAAATAAAGGTGGCATGACTTGAAATAATGTTTCATATCTAAATTATATTTTCTTTAAGGCGCCGTTTTTACAACTTCTAAGCAGGCTAGATATATATACCAAATCTCATAACATCTTTAAAGACTTTGGTGATCGTCATACAAGCAGAACTAATATCTCAGTAAACAAAGCACAAAACACAAATCAACTCAATTTAATATGTTTTTTAAACCTTGTCAAGACGCTTTTAGTTGTTTCCCCAAGCAGCACGGTGGCATGTGGTTATGT